AAGGAGAAGGAGAAGAAAGCCCTGCCATCTGTGGTAACATGTATAAACTTAGAGGACATTATTTAAGTAAATAAATGAAACACAGAAAGATAAATACTACCTGACTCCACTTACTTGAGGCATCTAAAATAGTCAAACTCAAAACAACAGAGTAGAATGATGGTTGCCAGGGCTGGGGAAGAGGGAAGTGAGGAATTGTTCCTCAGTGTGTCTGAAGCATCAGCTATGCAAGGTCACTGTCTAAGAGATCTGCCGCTAGCCACATGGTACTGTGCACTTTAAAACATGTTAACAGAAGCCGGGCAGGGTGGCTCACCCCTGTAATCCCAGCGCTTGGTAGGCTGAGACAGGAGGATTGCAAGTGAGGCCAGCCTGGGCTATATAGACCCTGTCTCAAAATTCATTAGTTAAAAATGTTAACAACATAGATCTGTTAATTGCTCTTATCACAGAACAGAAAACACACACACACACACACACACACACACACACACACACACACACATGGAGATACTTGGATATGTTTAGTCCTGGGGCTGGGCAATGGTACACATGTCCAAGCTCATCAAAGTATATGCATTAAATAAATATAACCTTCAACACGCCATTATACCTCAATAAAACTTAAGAAAAGACTGGAAGATGATATCTTTTATGAAGCTCAAAACAAGAAAAAGAAATGAAATAACCGATTGCTTTCTCAGAGTCTACATTTAGAGTAAGATCATGAAAAGACCGAGGGACCCGCAGAGCACAAGGGTGAGGGCAGTGGCCGTGGGCGTAGCCGTAGTGGTGCGCAGGGCGCGAGATGGGAACAGCGCCCCCAAGCGGACGCGGCTACCCTAGATGGGCCCCAGCCCTGCACACGCAGGCCGATTTGGGAGTACTGGTTTTTTTCATCAAATTTCCCAATTTACGTTTGTGCGCGTATATCTTTTCCACCCATCATATGTGGCTGCCTAATGCTAGTACAAATTTTAGGAGAAAAAGAGCCTAGTCCTAGGGCAAAAGCCCAAATCAAGTCAACTGAATGAGGGAGATCTACATTAAGGCCACTTGCAACTCTGAGAACAGGTGTGTGGCGCCTGTCTCCCCCTCCCTCTGGCCCCCAACTCTTCTGCAGAGAGACAGAACTCCTCTGCAGTCCCCCAGCACCTGTTCTCTGAGTTCCTACTCTACGCCAGGGATTTGGAGATAGATTAAACTTTGAACTATGCGTGCTGGTACACACCTGTGATCCCAGCACTCGGGAGGCTGAGGCAGGAGGATCCCTGTGAGTTTGAGGCCAGTCTGGGATGCATAGTTAATTCAAGGCCAATCTGAACCACATAGCAAGACCCTGTCTCAAAAAAAAAAAAAAAAAAAAAAAAAGAAGAGAATTTGTCCTGACTCTAGACTTGCTCAGAGTCAGAATGCTGTGAAATGCAGAGACCCAAAAATACCTCAGAGAGCAAAGTTATGGAATCAGGTCTGCCTCTTCTGGTCTGGGATGGCTGCAGAGGGGGCCACCGTGGTGCTGGCTCCATCACCGTGTCACTGTCCTCTTCTGTGCAGGCCTCCCTGTGACCGCTCTGCCGAAGTTGGGTCTCAGAGCTCTGCACAGTGTGACTGCCAGACCTCGGAGCCCTGCGCGGGACTCAGACTGCTGCTCCTTGACTGAGGCTGTCAGAGCATCCTGACTTTGGCCTCGGGTATTTCAGCAGCGCTGGCCACTGCGTACAGCACTCTGCTCCACCCTGGGGGAGACACTGGGAGGTGCAGGGGACTCCTGCCCTCAAGGGGGGCTTGAGATGCAGTTGTTGGGGGCTGGCGCGGGGGCAACACACCCGTTTTCCTGGCACTCTACGGGCCCAGGCAGGAGGATCACAGCTCAGTGATTTAGCAGCTCTGTCCCCCATAAAAAAAAAAAAGGAAATGCTAGGAATGCAGCTCAGTGCAAAGGCCCCAGTACGAAAAAAAACAAGCAAGCAAACAGAAATACTCTGGGTTAAAGACATTATATTTTCTTTTGAATCTTCTTCTTCTTTTCATTTCTTTGTTTTTTGAAACAGGGTCTCACTAGGTAGTGCAGGTTGACCTTGAACTCACTGTGTAGCCCAGGCTGGGCTGGAACTCCTGTCAATCCTCCTGCCTCAGCCTCCGAAGTGCTGGGATTATAGACATGTGTTATCACATCCAGCTGTGAATCTTCTGTAAGATGGTTAATAAAGTTCTTTCTTTGTTGTTTCTCGTTTTTTGTTTTTGAGACAAAGTCTCACTTGTAGTTCAGCTGGTCTTGAATTTACTATGTAGCCCAGGCTGGCCTCAAACCCATGGCAATCCTCCTGCCTCAGCCTCCTGAGTGCTGGGATTACAGGTGTGAGCCACCATGCCTGGTAGTTCTTTCTTTTGTTGGGTATTTTTTCAGACTTGACATTGGTATATAGCTCAAGCTGAGCTTAAACTTGCACTGTTCCAGCCTCAGCCTCCCCAGTAGGTGAGATTGCAGGTGTGTACATTTATAGGTCTGGATGCCCTGGGTGGAATGGCTTGCTCTCAGGTGCATCCTGGATATTCAAAGGATCCCTGTGAGGCCACAGACGCTGCCTCAGTCCCCTGTGGCCAGGGCCCATTCCAGGGGAGCTGCTCAAGCAAGCACTGGTAACCGAAAGGAGCAAACTTTCCGGATTCGGATCTAGATAATCTCTCTGTCCTCTTGGGCTTTTCCCTTCTAAGGGCAGAGTCCTGACACCCGCTCTGAGCTGCCTGTGTGTGCTGGATCTCAAAGCATTTCAAAGAGGCCCGAAAGCCACATTCTGCAGCCAGGGTGTGTGCGTGTGTGCACGCACATGCGTACAGACGCGTGACATGCAATCTGGTTATTCTGGTTGCACGGCATCGCTCCGAAAACCCCAGAACACCGGATGCGCCTATTTAGGAGTCTAAAAACAGCGATCCCGTCCCCTGACTCAGGAGGGCCCGACAGCTCACAGAGCACCTCTTCCATAGCTTCTCCCTTCGCACACAACGCACCGTGGCCCGGGGGCCTGGGCTGGGCTCTACTGCCCCTGCCGCCCACGGTGCAGACAGAAAACTGAACCTCAGTGGGGAGAACCGCGCTGGCCAAATTCAAACAGAGCCAGGGCGGCCAGGCCCAAGGACAGAGACTTTCTGGCACCTTGTGGCAGGCCGGTGGCGCACGGCGCCCTCCAGGGTGCATGTGGGGAGCGAGTTCCGGGACTCTCGTGCCCTGGCTTGTCGCAGAGGCCCGGTTCTGGTCAGGGCTCAGGATGGGTGAGCTGGGAACTTCGTGAAGAGCAGGGCTTTGTGTCTCGCCGCTGCTCACAGCCTCCCCCCGGCGGCTGAGCCCTGGGGTCACTTGACGCTGGGCCGGGACTGGGCTGGAAGCAGGCGGAGAGGCTTCTGCGGGAACCAAGGCCATAGCTGGGTCTTCAGGAATGAGGAACGTTAGCAGAAGAAGGGGTTCACTGGGAGGGCATTATGCCAGGGAAAACGAGCAAAGACACTTTGTACCGCGCGGAGTCTCACACACTTGTGACCCCAGCTCCCCGGGAAGACTGCAAGTTCTAGACCAGCACGGGCTTCGTGGCAAGACGCTGTGTGCAGCACCCACCACCGCCAAAAAAGACGTTTCACGGGGGCTGGGGATTTAGCTCAGCGGCAAAAGCGCCTGCGTGGCAAGCGCAAGGTCCTGAGTTCGGTTCCTGGTACCGGAGAAAAACAAAAACAAAACAAAACAAAACAAAACAAAAGACGTTTCACGTCCACGCGCATCCGTATGACTACGGCCTGCATGACATTTACAGAATATTTTGCTGGACTACTTTTAAGATTAAACATGGCTGTTTACAAGGGCCACACTGTATCATGGGATTGCTTACTAGTTTCTTATCACTAGTACACATTACAATAAACACGTACATGCCGAAGCAAACAACAGTCACCCTCTTCTGCCCGTAGGATCTTCTGGTAGACCCGGGGAGGGTGGGTACCACGCTTGGGGATCCATGAACAAAGGCGAGGACCGGAGCGAGAGCGTGGGGGTGGGGTGCTGCTGGAAGCGGCAGCAGGAGGCTGCGTGGATGAGCATGAGCGGCGGAACCTGAACGGGCTTGTGTGCTGGCTCAGAGGTCGAGGCGGGCGGGATCAGCCCGGAGTGCGGATGGAGAGGCACCGAGAAGGCAGAGGAAAGCCCGGGACTCTTTCTTGTGGCTCAGGTTGTCCTTTGAAGGGCTTATTTTAAAGGGTAGCTATAAACCTCAACTCCCAGAACCCTCAAGGAGGCTGGTCTCCAACAGAGAACGCTCTTTGAAGGGAGAAACCATGGCCCAGGCGGCGAGATGACCTTGGGCGCATCACGTAACCTCTTGTGGCCTCGAGCATTCTGTCTTGGACATTTGTCAAGAAACCCAGGACAGGACCAGAGGCTGGGGGTCGAGAGTCTTTGGGCCCACTTCCCCCCAGATCACGGTTTCTCAGTTTGGCGTGGTGGATTTTGGGGCCGGATCATTCTTTGCTGTGGGGAACTGTCCTGGGCAGCGCAGGGTTTTGGCAGCATCCTTGGCCTCTGCTCAAGAGGTGCCAGTAGCATCCTCCCAGTTACGACAACCAAAAATATCTCCAGTCACTGACCAAGGTCCCTTGGAGGAGGAGGATGTTGCTAGACTTGTCGTGGGAGAAGGAGTGAGTCCTGGTGGCCACAGCAGTCTAGGCTGAAGCTGGCGCCCCGGGAGCAGCAAGCTTCCTGCCGTGGGGCCGGTGCCGCTCAATTTCAAAACCTAAGTTGAAGCCGGGCGTGGTGGCGCACGCCTATAATCCCATCACTCAGGAGGCTGAGGCAGGAGGATTGTGCGAGTTCCAGGCCAGTCTGGTCTACACAGCGAGCTCAAGGCCAGCCTGAACTACGTAGCAAGACCCTGTCTCAAAAAGATAAAAAAACCAAAAAAATAAAAACCTTAGGTGGGAAGGAGTTCTGTCATTGTGTTTATCACAGAAAGATCCCTCATGGACTCCCTAGCGCTCAGTATTTATTCGCTTACTGATGTCTGGGGAAGAACACCCCAAGGAGGTCACATGCTTGCAGCAGTCCAGGTGTGACCTAATGCTTCCCTGCTGAGGCCTGTCTTCCAGAAGAAGGCAGCCAGTAGGAGGAGAAAAGACCTTTGTTTTGGTCTCAGAGCAGCTCTGGGAACACTCAGGGCAACTACCCAGCATGGCAGCAGATTCACACACACTTTCCAGGCAGTAGAACCCGGCCAACCTGTTCTTTGACTCGTAAAAATAATTATAGTAGAGCATCACTGAGCGCCTACTGTGTACCGAGGCACACATCTCTCTAATCCTCACAACAATCCATTATCCCCCATTTACGACATGAGAACACTGAACTCTGCTGGACTAGGCAACTTACTTCCTCATTAAATAGAAGGCAACCAGTGGTGCAGACGGAGCCAGCTGGGTGTGGTGTGGCAGTGCACACCTATAATCCCAGCACTCTGGGAGCCTGAGGCAGGAGGAGCTCAAATTTGAGCCTGGCCTGGGTAACTTAGTGATTTAGCAAGGTCTTGTCTCAAAATAAATTAGGCTGGGCGTGGTGGCGCACACCTGTAATCCCAGCACTCCGGGAGGCTGAGGCAGGAGGACTGCTGGGAGTTCAAGGTCAGCCTGAATTGCATAGGGTGACCCTGTTTCAAAACAAACAAATGGGGGTGGGGGTGGGGAAGTGGGGGATAACTCAGCAGCACAGCACCTACCTGGCAAGCTCAAGGTCCTGAGTTCGATTCCTGATCCCCCCCCAAAAAACCAACAAAACAAATAAAAAATAAATATTAAAAAGGGCTGGGGAAGTAGCTCAGGGTGAAGGTCCTAGCTTCAATCCCCAGTACCAGAAACAAATACACAGAACAGTATGGACGGCTGACATGCAAGCTCCAGTCTGCTTGATTCCAAGGTCTTGGTTATTTCTCTCGTGTCAGGCTACAGACCCTCCCCAGTGGCACTGTGAGTGAGAAGGGACCGCACTGTGCTTCCATGGGGGCTGTGAAGAGCCATAGTCACAGGCTCCGTAGCTGGTGTTTTGGGAGCTGGAGCATTAACCCACTTGCACAGAACACCGGAGCCTGCTCCCTCTGGTTTTCTTAACCTTGTAAAATAAAGCTCAACCCAAATACACCACACAAATAGATACCTCAGTGACTGGTGGAGGCACACATCCTTTTAACTTTAGCCAGTAAAGCAACAGAACTTGCCCGCCGCCCTAGAGGGCGCTCACAGTTTCCATTGCAGTAATAGGCCCAAGTCTCCCTGCAAACGTAGCCACAGTTCTACTTTTGGAGTACTTGATTCCCTGCATTTATGATCTAGCTGGGACATCTAAATTCTGTAATAATCCTTCCATTTTTATGGTACTGGGGAGTGAACGCAGGGCCTTTGCACTGAGCTATATCACCAGCCTTTTAATTTTTTTTTTTTTTAAAGAGCTGGTGGCAGGGCGTGATGGCACATGGCTATAATCCTAGCACTCAGGAGGCTGAGGCGGGACGATCATTGGGAGTACAAGGTCAGCCTGGGCTACAAAGTGAGCTCAAGGCCAGCCTGAACTGTAAAGACCCTGCCTCAAAAAAAAAAGCTGGGTATGGTGGTGCATGTCTATATCCCAGTATTTGGGAGACTGAGGCAGGAGGATCCTTGCAATTTTGAGACCAGCCCGGGCTATAAAATGAGCTCAAGGGGGCTGGGGATTTAGCTCAGTGGCACAGTGCCTGCCCAGTAAGTTCAAGGTCATGAGTTTAATTCCTGGTACTGGAAAAAAATAAGTAAATAAATAAATAAATAAAAATAAAATGAGCTCAAGGCCAACGTGAAGTTTTAAATTAAAAAAAAAATTTTTTTTTTTAAATTTTAAGACAGGGTCTCACTAAATCCCTAAGTTGCCCAGGCTGGGCGTCCACATATGACCTTCCTGCCTCAGCC